AACGTTAACTGGCTAGAGATAATATTTAACATTTACGGGGCTATTGTGTTAGGCTTGAACCTGAGTTTTTAAACAAACTATTAAGATCTGTGCCAAAGATTTCTGACTTTACTGTCATACAAAAGCAAGCACGTTCCTCGAGAGGTCAGCAAGATTGAATTTTTCTCCTTACTTCATTTTTACATAACTGGGAGAACAAATTCATTAGTATAAACATTAGTTAACACTATCAAAGGCTGGCTGGGCCTGTGAACCCAATTCGGTTTAAATTTACATCACTCATTTCATTTATTTTTTTCTCCTCAAGGTCCCAAGTACTTAAATACCACTTTAAACAGCTTGTAGGTTTGCTTTCTGTTTAATTTTATAGGATCTCTCATACCTAAAAATGAACCACCATCATCTAGAAAATGAGGTTAGTGCTACCAGTCTATGATTTGCTAACAACATAAAGTTCTTTGCATTTAATGTTTTGAATTCAGAAAAGATACTGCAGATGACCTTCATTTATAATGACCAGACACATTTTATCGTTATAAATTTGGCAGCTGATGGTAACGGATTTACATAAATGTTCCTCAGCAATTGCTTTATAGAGAGGATCATTATTGATCTTCCAATGGATTACTCTTTTAAGGCTTCTTTTTTAGGTGATAAATGACTGACTTTTTTCCATTCTAAATCAAAAAGGCTATTGACAACTTATTTCTTTAAGGATTAGAAAATTTGGGTCAGAATAAAATAATATGAATAAAAATACTATGGACAAAAAAGGGGCCAAATCCTAAACCTGACAAGCTTAGAAAGGCCAGCATGGTGGGCCCTACGAACTCAGAAAGACCGAAAGTAACCACATAAATGGTCTGAACATAAAAACTGCTAACAAAAAGGTCATGGCAAGTAGTCATATCCTGGGCCCGTAGCTTCCTTGACAAAGGTCAATCGTTACCTTAAGTGAGCCTGTCTATTGTCTTTTTGCATCTAAGATATCTCACTCTTGGAATGTCAGAGTAATCCTTTTCTAGACCCCTCGAGGCACAACCTCTGCACCAGAGCAGGAGGCCACAGAACCCCTCCCACCCCCCCCACCTCTTTCCTGCATACCATCTCTATGTGCTATAAATGTTAATTATCAATTCTCTTTTACCCACCAATGTAAAAGAAGTGTGTCTCTCCATTTTACTTCTTATCAGATCTCAGTGAGATTTCCGAACACTTTCTTCCACCTCCCTAATCTACTACCAGTGAATTTCATGTAACCCTCCATAAGTCTACTCCTTTAATTCTAATGTATAAAATAAACTGTAAAATTGCCATTCTCTGGGGCATTTTCTCAATCCATTGAGATTTTTGCTTCCTGGTAATTGTCAGTTTGACTCAAACTCATTAAAATTCTCTACAGATTTGGGCGTTTCTTATGTCGACAATACTGAATATTCAATTAATAAATCCAATAGTTTTTCTCTAATGTCACTTTTCCTTTATTTCTTTACTTAAATATAGTGGTTCTCAAACTATGGTCCCTGGACCAGAAGCATTGGCAAGATCTAGTAATTGGTCAGAAATGCAAATTCTCTGGCCCCATCCCAAACCTATAAAATCAGGAACTCTGAGTTTGGAGCCAGAAGAATTTGTATTAACAATTCTTCCAGGGGATTCCAATGCACATCAAGGTTTGAAAATCAGTGCTCTAATATATAATGTAAACAAATTTTAGACTTCAAAAAATTCACCTTTTTATATCTTACAAAAGCAAAAAGGTCTCAGCTAATCCACATAAATGATGCAAGTCTATACCAAACCAAAATATACATTTTCACTATTCTAAAGGTTATATTTTCAATCTTCTCTAGTTTTAGCATATTCCTCTGTTAGCAGAAATGAAATGGAGGCTGACTTCTAGCAAAGAATTATGACAAGTGAGGAGAAAAGAGCTCTACCTATCAAAATTTTGCACCAGAAAAATAAAACCTTACAAATTATTTTAATAGGTATAGTGAAAGTAAACCAAAGGATTATGAGAGATCACAAACAACAGAAAAAGGCCCAGATAACGTTCTTGTATTAAACAAATCCACCATTCAAGAGAAATAAAAGAGCTGCTTCAATTAATTCACCAAAAGTCATCTATGTCCAATTTAAATTAGGACCTATCCCCATTTTTTCATAACCAACCAGAGCACATACTTATACAATGGCTTCTTTATGACTAAAAAACTTAACAGTAAGATTCTTTTCCTCTTTCTTTGGGGTTTTTAAAATTACGCTGGTGAAAAAATGAATACACAGACTTCCTATTTTTCTTCCTCAGAATTTTCTCCATACAATGAATATCTCCTTACAGTATTACATTTTTCTGAGGTAAGATACAGCTGGAAGAACAGGAAGAACCCTGCAACAAGTTTGGAATTAGAAAGCACAGTTTTAAGTTCCAGGTCTGTCATTTAATTTTCTATGTGATCTTGAACAACCATTTAAACTGTAAAATGGGAACAATATCTATCCCATAACTGGAAAATTTGAGAATGTATACAGAAGGTCTTTGTAAGTTATAGAAGGCATTTTTAAGGAGATAAACAAAAGATAAACTTATTTGATATCACATTATCAATAGCAGAGTCAAATTAAATAAATAAATCAGACCTGATGGTCTAGACAGTGGTGCCCTAATCGATCTGGAAGGTACCACTGAGAACACTGGCGCCACTAAGACTTGCTAAAACTAAACTATGAACACATGTAATTATTAATAAAAAGCCCATGTCAATTGTACCTCCTCTGTAACACCCTTTATTTCAAGAGGATATTTTATTTATCAGTCGCTAGGGTGTAAAGAAAGGCAAAAAAAATAATATCATGAAAGCCCCATAAAGCTTCAGTGTGAGGGATATAAATAGCACTACATTAACAGTGGAGAGCTCACCAGGTGCCTGTTAAGCCCTGTTCTTAGAACTGGGGATATAGGAGTGAACAAGATTATGTACCTGGCTGGCCTCAAGCAGCTCACAGCAGGGGGAGGCAGGTAAACAAAATCCACAAGTAAACAGATACTATGCTAGAAATACTAGCACAAGGAAAGCAGTATAAAGGTATAGGGAGTGCCATAAAGCAGAGAAGGGAGAGGAAACCATGGAAGGCAAGGCCCCACTGATAAGGTGACTCATGAGGTGGACTTGAAGGAAGTGAAGGGAGCCATCTGAAAAGAGGAGAATAACCAGGAGCTCAGAGGCAGAATTGAGGAAGCAGTGAGTGAGGGAGTCGGTGGTAAGAGCTAAGACAGAGATGGGGGCGGGTGGAGGGAAAAGTTAAGACCTCACAAAATAGATTTTATTTGGAGATAGGATGCCTTTGCAGGGTTCTGGTCAAATGAATTACAAATAACTGTTTTTTCAAAACTTGTTAGTTGTGGAATCTTGTTCAAGGGATCCAGAAAAGATTAATGTGTAAATAAAGAGGAGCTGCTCTGGTTAAGGAAGGGGTACCCAGAGACCCGACTAGGCTGTTCCCACTTTCCCACTCCCTCTTCTGAAGTAACAGTTTAAAAATGAGTACAAAGTCTGTAGCATCCAAATGTTCACATCCTGTATCCAAAGAACTTCAAAATCCGGCCCCAACCTAATTTTTCAAAAAGCTATTGGTAGGGAATAGCAAAAAAGAGTGAACCAAGCTGCTGATGCACAGAAGAGCAAATGTGTTGCCACAAATATCAGTGTCTGTAACACCTCTTTATCAACCGAGTACCAAGGCACAAGGTACAAAGTCCCTACCTTCTCCCACACACCTCTCATGCTACATACATGTTTACAGCTTGTGTTCCCTTTCAGGGCTTCCCTTGATATTCATTTTAACTTGACTTCACTAGATTAAAAATGTTGCAGCAATACAGAGTGATCTGCCTTTGTTGACATTATATCTCTGGATATGGCCTCCCTATCAATTTATATTTTAGGAAAATTTTTCCTCCACTGGTATTATTTCTTCTATCAGTATTGGCTTCCTAGTTTGCTCTATTCTAATTCTACCTATCTCTCAAAGTCTTCTTTGTGAAGACTTCCTCCTCACATTTTGACCCTTAATTGGAATTCTAGATCTTCAGAGTATGAAGCAAACTTCCAGGCCACCTAGTTCATTGCTCATTCCATGGACTAACCCTCTGCAGATTAGGCTGGTAGTCTTCCAGCCTTTGTGACTGCTTTTAGTAACAAGCACACACTAGCCTACAAGGCAGTCCATACTGTTTCAGACACAGAGTAATTGCAAGAAAATTCTTTTTACTGATTCAGAACCTGTTTTCTGGTATCTTCCACCACTGGTTTTGCCCTCTGGTTGAAATAGGAAAAAGTCTGATTCCCTGTGCCCTGACACACCCTGCATAGCTTATAGCTGCCTTATCTTTTTCCCCATTCTGTCTCTACCTCTAAAAATCCTACCTGTTCCCCAACCATCTCACAGGTCACATGTGGAAGCCACATTCAATCTGTAATGATTAGCTAATGGTTGCAGGCAGATTTGATATCTATGTAGCCAGGGAAGTCGTTGTGCCCCGAGCCACAGATTACACTGCTTTCCTGATTCTCTCCTTTGAATTCTCCTAGGACTTCTATATGTAGCCTTGCATTCATCATCATGCATTCTGTCATTAAACGTTGATTGAGCACTGTCAGGAGCTATGCTAGGAACTGAAAAAATAAAAATAATTAAAATGTACTCTGCCTATAAAAGAATAAGAGCAAGACAGGCAAACTACTAGCGGAGGAAATTGGAGAAGGCCTCAATGAAAGAGGTGGTATCTGAGCCAGGGAGGAACCCATGTCCCACACAGCCTTGTGTCCCAAGCAGCAAAAGGTACAATGCTTTGCCGTCAGCTGAAGTTCAGAAAAATTCATGAATTTGGTAAAGTTGAGGGAGCCTGCTCAACCCCCTCAGCCTCTCTTGGAGGTGAGGGAGAGGTATCACTGAATCCAGTTTGGCAAAGGCAGTTGCAGAGGCTGACACTGTACCTGGCTATGTGCAGTATTACTCAGGTGGTTGTCCTCGGACATCTGTGCATTCTGGAAGTAGGACAAGGGTGCAGGTAACTCTGTCATTGGAGCAACTATACAGAAATATCTTTTCACAGAAAACAAAGCCTCTTAGAGTTCTGAAAAGAGAAAAAGAAAATAATTATTTGTGCATTACAATTATACTTTTATTCTTAAACACTTTCATAAAATACTTTCAGCAAAAACAAACCTTTCTTTCATGTGTCCCCGTCCAGGCCAAGCTTTCTAAGGACCTTGCAGGCTGCTGTCACTTGAAGGCTCCCGGATTAGGTCTGAAATAGGATTTTACCAGATCACTCACTCAGAGATGGTCAACTCCTAGTAAATCCATTCACATCAATCAAATAAGACCAGTTTATAAACCACAAATTTATTAATTTGCCATGACCTTCAACTGACAAACTTTTATCAACTCAAGATACCTCTTCATAATGAGTAAACCTACTTGAGAAACCAAATATTTTCCATCACAAAGACACTTCATGATTTCAGATTTAGAGAATAATCTTAAAGAATGTTCTCGCCAACACCCTTTTTCTGTGCTGACCAATCCAATCTAATTTTTACATCTCCATAAAACTATTTATCCAATGCTTTTAATTTTACAAAATTCTATCATCTCATTTAATCCTTACCACAATGCCCCAAGACACGGGGGAAAGAGACAACATATGTATTTCACAAAAGCAGAAGGAGATTCAAGTTCAGCGGCTTGCTTAAAAATCACATAATTGGTCAGACCAGCAAAAAAGTCACAGACTCCTGACTCCCAGCCTCAGGCCTCTCCTTCGCATCCTGGCACAGCCTTATATACATACATCACTCTCTCCCGGAGTTCACCCTCCTGGGGGCCACTTCTTCATTTGCCTGTCCTTCCTTAATCTCCATCAGCCAGTTCTTTCTTTAGGACTTCAACTTTCCTTTTCACAGTAAGTCTTCAGAAGTATAAAAGAAGAAGTCTGTTTCCCTACCTAAACAATATTCTAATTCATATATAGTATCTAAAATATTACCATGTACATATTTACATGAAAGTATTTTGTCATTTTCACGATCCTCTACCCTCCAAATTTGCTTTTTTATTCTAATGATTTTTCATAAAAAACACATTAAGCGACTTTTTCCTCTAGTAAAGGTATCGAGTTCAAATCAACCCTTAATTACCTATATTTGGCTCATTCGAATCAAGACAAAATTTTAACCAAGGTATGCTTTCCATTCTACCTTACATGCTTTTATATACCATGTCTATCTTTCTCCTCCCCTCCCCTTATTCCCCGTCAGCCTACAATCAGCTGGCGTGGGATCAAAACATTGCAAATTAACTAAAGAAAATATAATTAGTGTAAATTTGTTTAAAAAATAAAGTGAATTAAAAATAGAAACAGAGGCAATACTTTTGTGGGGACAATTCATTGGAAGGGGGTACATGGGAAGCTTTTGAGGGGATTGTTTTGCTTCTTGATCTGAGTGCTAGTTACACACGGGTTTCAGTCTGAAAATGCACTGAGCTATATACACACCTATGATGTGTGTACATTTCCATATACTTCAACTAAAACATTTAAATAGATTTTGTGGGAGTAAACCTATATTTAGGGTTACTCATACATGGTCTTTTTTTTTTTTTTTTTTTAAGGCGAGGCACCCCTTGGTTGACCTCACAGATTGCAAGGACCTTGTCATCTCACAATTCCTTATTTTTATTTTTTTATTTTTTACACCTATAGCACCTTGTCTTCCTAGGTGGTCTCCCATCCAAGTACTAAACAGGTCTGACCCTGTTTAGCTTCCAAGATCAGATGGGATTGGGCTTGTTCAGGGTAGCATGGCCGTAGATGGTTCTGTCTTTCAAAATAGATAAAATTAAGACTTTGGCAATATGTATGCTAGCTTACCTAAAAGAGAGGTGGATTCCAATAGAACAGTTATATTTTCTAAATATTCAAAGTAAATGTTGTGACCTATGCTTCTAGATTTCAGGTAAAAATGAGAAGAAAAGTGATTGTCCATTTACTAAATAGGAGTTCACTGGCTGTCTACTTATATCAAAACTCAGAGACAGTCACTGAGAAGTTTTAATTATGCTCACTTTATCCATTCTACCGATGAAAATAATGTGGCACATGAAGTTCACTAACTTGCCCAAGAGTAAACAAAGGAGCAAAGCAAAGGCTCACATATTACACTATGTTGCCTCTGTGTAAAACTCCATCCCTGCCCTTTACGAGTTTACAATAATGAACATTAAAACATTGTGAGCTGATTTTCATTACTAGTAAAACTACTGTTTAGAAGTAAATGAGATCTTAAGCTTCAATAACTGGTTCAACTATAAATTAAAAACTTAAGTGCCAAAAACATTCCTAATACACAGTCCTAGTATTTATTTATTTTTTAAAGATAAACTATGAGAATCTGGTCATTTTGATTTTTAGTAGTTTCCATTATTAGCCTTATGCTTACAGGATCTGTTCAGTTATTATAAGAAACCACAGAAACTGATTATCATACCGAAGCTTTCTCAGACGGACAAATCTTAAAAGGATCATTAATAATATAGTAGTCACTTTAGCATATCTCAATACTATTTTCAAAGGCATATCCATCCATATTTATGTGTGAAAAACTAAGGATCAGGAAAAGTAAAAGAATTTGCCAGTACACGATTATGGGGTAAGTAACACCAGTTCCAGAACCTAGGTCTTCTGATGCCCAGCCCAGATCATTTCCGGTTCACCCAGAGAAAGCTCAGGCCTCCACGGATGCTTTGAAGATCACAATGTTATAGGGAGGGCACCATTCCTGGAAGAGCTGCTCTTTACATGAGCTCAGTAGGAAGCAGAGGCAGGCAACAGGGTTAAGCTAGGTCTTCAGTCAGGCCTGGTGAACAAACAAACATTGTTGGTACCAAGAAGGGAACAGGCAAAGCCAGATTTGATTCTGGTCCAGTAACAGCTGAAAACAATTGATGACTCCATGGAGAAGGCCAATGACCCCACTGTTCAGGCGGTGTGGCAAAAGACACTAGCAGGCTTTATAACATTCTGACCAGTATCTTGAGAACAAGACAGTTGTTGAGGAGTAAGAATTTTTCATGTGACCTAGATTGCAGAAGGAGTGGGAATAGGGACAAAAGTAGATTTTAGTGTTTCCTCTCTCTGGCTACCTGTTAAAGATTTTCTGAGACTGACTGAGCATACCTGAATTCACTGCCATCCAATTCCTTTTTCTCAAGACACTTGCTCAATCACATAAAAGGCAAAAGAAATTGTTCTTTGATGGACAACTAAAATTTCTATTATACACAGAGCTAAACAAGCCCCAGGAGAATACAAATAACCTCTAGGACTAGATGTGCTGAACAGAAAAATCCACCTAACCAGAAAACCTTCTATCAATCAGCACATCAAAAAGTATAACTGGAGCAATGTTTAGAATTGCAAAATAAGTTTATTAAAAATCCCATTTAAGGGAAACATCAACAAAAAAGTACATCTTTCTCACTATATCCCAAGGCAACATCTAACCCTTAAACTCTTGTAACATGTTCACTTAATTATAGATACCATTTTCTTCCTTCACCTTCAGAGATAAATATAAACAAAATCTGTACTCCACAGAAGCAAACATGTTCATGGAGATTTTTTTTTTTAATCATGATCTTCTCTAGCACAAACGGCTTATGCCTTGTTTTAATGACTCTAGCCACTTGACTAGTTTCTCCTTCACTTAGAAAACTACCAAAAAGTTATTTTCAAAAGTATCTTTGTATTGTAATGCTAAGAAGTTTTCAAGTGCCAAAATGAGCTTGTGATTTGTTATATTTTCCACAAAAGTATTTAATCAGCTTCAATGTTACTTTGACAGTGTTTTCCTGGACAATAAGCCTGAGCTCTAATTATATGGATGGGCTTGGAGAGCCTCTATTTGAGGTTTTAAAAGATCATATCCAACAATAAATGTATTCAATGCCCAAAATTAATCAAAAATAATTTGAAACTAACTTAAAATTTCAGGAGTACATCCTAGAAAGACTCCTCTGAATTTTAGACTAGGAGCAAAATCATTTCCCCAGCCCTACAAGAGGCTCTGTGAAAGTGGTAGACACTAAAAAGAGCAAAGATAGTGAGTGATAGCATATTTGGTGATATTTTTCCCTCCTTCTATCCCACTCTACTTCTGTGAACCATCTGTGATAGATTAGATTATTATTCAGCAGATATTCACTCCTTCTCCCAGTACCCCAAGGGAGGAATATACTTCCCCTCTGCAGTGATGTTGGCTTGGCTCTGTGACTTATTTTGGCCTCAAGATGGGTGCAGTCTACTACCCACCCCAGGCTTTTGGGCACATCATATGACTTGCTTTGGTCAATGGGATCTTGCATTTGTGGCACAAGCAGACACTTGAATTGTGCTTATGCCATGGGCCTTGCCTTCTTGTACTTCTGCTGTTGCCTTAAAAAGAGCTTACTGTGGGTAGCCACTGCCCCTTCTGCCAAGGCCCCAGAATAAGACACGTGAAGCAAAACTGTCCTAGCTGATCCACACACCTACACGTTGAAGCAGAGCCTCGGGTGAGAACACATGCTCTAAGACACTGAATTTTGGGGAAGTCTGTTATATATAGAGCTTTCGTAGTTGTTTTTAAATAATAATGGTTATGTGGGCTCAGAAGATGCAATGAAAATGAACAAATCCAAAATATTTTATCTGGGACCCTTAGAACTTACTAAAAGTGTTTAGAATTCATTTTTTTTTTTTTTTTGCTTTTATAAAGGTAATATGATGCAAACACCATATGTTTTATAATGTCCCCTCGGGGTCTTAGAATCGCAAAATCGAACAAATTAATAAATATATAATGAAACATATTAAGTAGTTTTAAATTACATAAGTAGGTTCAGGTTAGATTTTTGCTGTCAAATGAATTATGAAAAGCCTTTCAGTTTTTTCAAGGGCTTTTGGATTTCAGAATAATAACTATGGGACTATATTATCAATATGTGTAAAATTATAAAGAATGTCCCCTCCAAATATTTCATTTCAATAACTCTACATACAAGGTATGATTACCCTGAGTCACTGTCTCAAATTCACTGTGGAAATGGGAAGAATACATCTAATCTTTAATGAAAAAGTTAATACTCAAATCTAATTACTTTGTAATTCATTGGTTATACTCAGCAATGCTTGCATTCTCTTTTGCTTTAGATCAACTTAAGGAACTGTACTAGGCATTGTGAAAACCGAACATTATGCCCTTTCATCAACAAACACTTATTGGGTTTTCTTCTACATAACCAGACGCTGTGATACGTGCTAAGGATGCTGTTGAATCAAATAATGCTTGTTTACTTAAAGAGCTTACTACTTAGAGGGGAAGACAGATAAGAACATTTTTATATTAATTACAATGTTGAAATAAAAAAATTTTAGATGTACTGGGTTACATTAAATGGTATTCAAATTTTACCTCCTTCTTTCTACCTTTAAAAATCTGTTTACTAGAAAGTTTAAAATTAACATTTGTAGGTCACATCATCATGTTTCTATTGGACAGTAGTGCTCTAAATCTTCAGTTCTTTCTGCTACACCAGGCCTGATATTGAAAATCCCTGACAACCTTTTCCTTCCTGAAGCTTCCCTCCCTTCCTCAGCTTTTGTAACAATGCACTATGAAGTTTTCCTCCTGCCACTCATTCTCCTCAGCTGGTTCCTGGCTCTTCTTCCATCCCCTCATTATAAGTGTTCCTAAGAGTATGCCTGGGCTCCTTTCCTTCTCTTTCCTTAGGTGTCTCCTCTACGCTCCTATATCAACTGGCAAGTCTATTTAAGTGACTCTCCCGTTTACAGTTCCAGGCCTGTCCAAGGGGCATTTTCACCTATTTGCACTTTCAAAGTGATACTTCCAAAGCACTTCCTCATCTTCCTCTCTAGAATAGTTCTTTGCTCCTAACTTCCTTATTTCTGTGAGATCGTCTCCCCCATTCTCTAAACTGAAAACCTCCTTCTCAACTTTAGTCATTCCTTGCTCTTTAATTGGCTGCGAGGTCCTAGTCATGTTTTCCCTCAGTTCTAAGCCTCTGCTACCACTGAAGATCAAACTCTCATTATATTTCACCTGGATATGCAAAGTTAGGTCAATTCTCTTATCCATTCTAGCCCCAACTACCAGATTAACGTAAAGTTCTGACCACAACTTTGATAACACCTTCCAAATCTGCCTGGCATGTATCACATGAAGGAGAAGCAGTATTATTAGGGGTCTTTGAAAGATTTTTCAGACTATTTTAGAGAGAAGTTTCTTCCTATAATCTGATATAATAGTTGAAGAGGATGAGCAAAGGGAACCTGGTTTGAGAGAGAGGAAGAGAACCACATATGCTTTGGTAACGGATAAATGTTCTATCTTTTCTGCTAGGATTCTCAGAGACCAATTCCAATCCTCCAGTTCTCCACAAATGGAAATTCATGCAGCAGTCTAAAACTAGTAACAGCCATTAACTTAAAATTCAGCAATCATCTCCATTCTGTGGTCTCCTTAAGAACAAGAAATAGAAGAATGGAAAACCAGATGACAGATGCCATGTCTATTATGTTTTTTTTTTCCTGGGGGTGGGGGTGGGGAGGAACTCATGCATTCAATATAGGCCTCTTTTTACATTGTTAAAGGCTTGTTATTATATGTGGGTGGGGCTTAAGTTGGTTAAACTCTGCAAATGAATTAAGAACTGAAATAGGCTTTTACAGGTGACTGAAATTAGCCAAATGCAACAGGCTCCAATCTACTTTCCTGTTTTATTGTCCTTCACAAGTTATTTAATGTTCAGACTGAATTACTGGACGCTTAAGATTCAGAGGGCCCCTGTTTGTAGTACACCCTATGGTTATAATGTCTTCCTTTCTTTAATTCCAAGAGTGAAAACCTTTCCACTACAAAAGATGATTCAAATAACAAGATTCCCTTAACCAGATGTGATCTCTACCTGCCTCAAACTTCAGAGAATGTTATGACCTTTACAATGTGTTCTGCCATATAGTTATTATATATGCCACATTACTGCACACTATTCTTATCATCCATAGTAAACCTTGAATATTTTATTCATTTTGTCCAAACAAAGCAAGTAATACTTTAGGATTATTACTTTCCTACCAGAGAAGCAGATATTCATTTGAAAAGAAACTAAGCAAGAATAAAAAGCAAGTATCTAAGACACATGCAAAGCATCGGACATACATGACTCATGACAGTGCCGATCAAGGTAAAAGCATCAGACTCCGTTTTCCTCTTGGATGTGAGACATAACAAAGTTAGCCCTGAGTGCCACTAGCTTCCCCTTTACAAGGGCAGACTCAAAGCACGAGGCGAGGAGTTTCACCAGTTGCTCAACCAGACAGCGCAACGCGCTTCCTCTTTCTCCTGCTCTATTCGAGTCAAGACGGTCAATCCCAGCCCAAGGCACCTGCGCCCTGAGATATCTTCGGGACACCAGCATTTCCGGACCGAGGCTCGGAAGGGTACTCTCTTTAACCTGACCGCGCGCCTCGCCTGGAACTCATGAAATAACTGGTCGCCCCTTCCTGTTTCCCACACGGGGTTCCTCTGTCTCCGCCCGGCCGCGCCCCGCTCCCATCCTCGAGGACACCGGCTCCGCCGCCCCGGCGGCGACAAAGAGCCGGACCCTTCCCGCGGCCGCCTGTGTCGACACTGGATAACGGACGCCTTCCTCTCTCCCCGGACTCCCCATCACGCACCTACTCCTTCCTCGCAGACGCCGACCGCTCACAGCTGAGGTTCCTTTACCAGCAGCCGCTGTTTTGTTTCCGATGTGAAGTCGCAGCCTTTGGAGCTGACGGGTCCAGACCCCGCCCAAAAGGCTTCACCCATGTCGTCATTTCCGGCTCTGGCGTCGTTGGAGCTCTGCCTGCGGAGGGGTGGGACCTAGAGGGATAGGGCGGAGCCCAGGGAAAGGGGCAGGGCTTCCGGTGGCGTGTTAAGATGGCTGGAGAAACCCTGCGCTCCAGCCAGCCTCCCACCCGGAGGAACCCGCCCAGAGTGCCAGCAGGGGTCGAGGTTGTCAGGGATTTGAGACCAGTGCTGAGGGGAGGACCAAGTTTCTATGTAAACTGAGCTCGGCGTGTGCTTCTCTTGGCCTACAAGCGATGGCATCTTAAGACTAACGTTTCTTTCATTTCCCTGTGGTGCCTATTTATAACACCTCTCAATGTGAATCAGCCGCACCACAATCAAGAGGATGCTAATTAAAATTGCAAATACACCCCCTACCTAATGAATCAAAACTTCTGGTGGGCGGGAAACTGTATTTTAAACAAATGCCAGCTGGGATTCTTGGACTCCAAATTTAAGAACCAGTCTTCCTAAATGGTGAACTTCCATAGAGCTGAAAATCTGTCTTATTTTTGTAATCTCCAAACCTAAGTATCTGGCGCACAATGATCCAAGTCATCGATCCAACTAATATTTAATGTGGCAGAGTAAACAGACTTGGAAGTGTCATTTAATTCAAACATGGCTTGAGAATTTTTATTCATTTTTGTTTATGGAAATTATCTTCTTGGGCATGTTAGATTGCCATTCCTAATTTGGCACATGAGTTAAGTAATAGAATGAAAGGTAATGATCAGTCAGTTAAGATGAAAATGTAAGCAAATGCAAATAAGTATTTCAATGTTAATATAAGTACATTTCAAAAAAAAATCCACGTTTATAAAAAATAAGTTCACTCTGATCTACAGTATGTTAATAGTTCCTCAGTTTGAAACGTACATATGAATTTTCCTATTTTCTTCCTGACATCTAGACTGTTTGGCTATTTGGGATTCCTTCTCATATCCTTTATAACCAGTGGCTTTCACAAGTCAAATTCACCATCTTTTGCTGAACAAAAACTATTTCTCAATTCATACTGTTAATAAAAAGATGAAATATAACCTAAACAAATTTGTAACCATTTTGACACCAAACCATTCTGCAGTCTTAGAGTTGGGTAAATAAGCCTCATATACACATTGTATACCTACTTACATTTATTTGCATAAGTTTTTTACTTCATATGAAAGAAGAAAATAACAGTGTTTAGTCCAGTTTGACTCTCAAGCTGTTTTTTCAATTTTTCCACCATACCTAGTATTTGTGCCTGATGAGTACCTGAAACAGCAACTCTCCACAAAACCATTAGCCTCTACTATTACATAGGTTTACCAGGAAGCACTGTAAGATTCAGAATAAGTAACAACATAAAGTTCTCTAAGGAGAAAATGTTCTGGGGCTGGCTAGGAATAAAGCCTATAATATTGAGTTCTCAGGCATTTTTGGAAGATTATTTTATATTCATGAACAAAGTATCTGTTTGCCTCAAAAATGTTTTTCCCTTTAAAATCTACTTGAAAATTAAGCAGCATTTATGTAGTCTTTTAGGATAAAATACTAGTACTGAGTAGGTACCTTAAACTGCTAATCAAAGCGTAGTCCTTGGATCAGTTAGCACTGGCATCATCATCATCCTAAGGCCCCATCCTGGCCCTACTAAATCAGTTTGTATTCTAACAAGATTCCATCAGGTGATTTAAACAGGCATTCAAGTTTGATTAAAGAAACTACTTCAAATAACTTATCTTTCCTCCTGTAAACAGATGTACATATTTTAAATTATTTAGAGGGTCAAATGACGAAAAAGCATATTGGTTTTCTGCCAAATTTTTGTATAATTTTATAACTTGAATGGGTAATATGGATTATCTAAGGTTCCCAAAACTGAAATTAGGCTATGGGCAAATGATGACTGCAACCCAGAAAGTTCATGCAACTTAGTAGAAATTTTCTTATGTGTATTCTCCCAAACACTAGAATATGCCAGTTTATACATGTCTAATTCTTTATATGCAAATCTGAAAAACAAACTCTGAAAACCTTAAAGTTTAAGGTTAGTGGCAAAACCTGACTTGAACTGACATTAAGCTACTAATGTAATGGTCTTTAACCCAGTGACTGATCATTCCCGCTCTGCTGCAGAAATGTTAATGTATGAACTTGGGATCCTGAGGCAAATCTCACTGGAAGTGTTATGCAGTAGACGATGTATATCCTCAAGGGTTTCAGATACCCGCCCTATAAGATAAATACTGTGAAAGAGCAGAAGAGAACAAAGCAAGGGAAATTAAATCCATCTGAATAAACCTTCATGCTAATTTTGGTTAAACAAAAACAACCTAACATGCTTTAGAAGTAGTAATATGGTAAGAGAAGACAGACATGATAAACTGCTCAAACAAGGTGTTGGGGTGAGGATGAATCTGAAAAAAGGCTAGTAAATTAATTTGTAAATGGCAAGGAGCATGTTTCTGAAATTTTCCCTTGAGAAACCAGAATTTATATTATAACACTAAAAGGAGATATCTCCATAGACATATAGAGTAATCTAAAATTAGGTAATATCCTCTTTGCCCTTCAGTCACTAATATTCATAAAAATTAATTTAGCCCATATTTTCAAGTTAAGTTTCTAGTATGCACTGCACAATTACAGCATGATGCCATTTATTTAATAAGACTCTGAAAGAATGAGTCCCCAAGATCAAATATATACATTTTTAATATTTGAAATATTTACATAATAGAACCATGTCATGGTCCAATATTAAGAACAGTGTTTTCAAATGTCCTCTTTAAGATGTAAAAAAATCTAATAACTCAAGCTCAGTTATGCTTTTTAACATCCCCCCACCGCCACCAAATCTTTATTTTTCTTTTAAATAAATACTCAGACATGGTAATAGCCACACCTACTCTGTTAAGAACTGTTTAAAACTCGTTACGTTTTCAGGTAATTTTGCTCCCTGGTGAAGTTCTGATCTACAATAAAGAAATGTATGTCTCTAACAACATCAGTATATTTTCAAACTTTGATGAGCAGAGGTAAACAAAGTGTGTGTGTATATACACAAGCACAAGCTATAAACCCTTTATCAAAACAAAAACAAAAAATTAGTGGTAACTGCCTTAAATGATTTACTTTATCCTTAGAAATAAGATGTAAACGTAAAATGCCATGCTGAATTCCTAGTATATTTTGTCAAATTTTCCTAGTCTGTCAAATGGCCTAATTTTATCTTTTGTTTCTCAAGTTTTTTTTCCCTCATTTATGCTTTTCCATTTTTTTCCCAACAAAAGGGGTACACCAAAATTAAGCTAAAGACCAATTAGTGCAAAAATGCATTAAATAAAGCTCTCCAGAATCTAAGGATCTGACTCATCTCTGCACAATGAAATTGAGGGGCAGGGGATCAGTGATTCACAGTCCCTTAAAAAGAGAGGCTGAAGCAGCCAGCTATCAACAGGAGAACCCCATGCTATTCAACAGACTGTTGCTTGCCAGAAAAGAATACCATGCTCTGGGAGACTAATAACCTAATTATCCCAGACATTTGGGTTGGCACAACACCACGTTTCCTTTACGATTCTATTCTTCAGTTAGGAAATGTTTACGGGAGCCCTCCAAAGCAAATCAGGGCAAAGTAACACTTTTATATATACATTCACACAAACACATTCATACAGATACAGTAGGAATGGATGGTCTGCTAATTTTCGCACTCTAATTTCAAAAATTAATTTCATGCCTTCATGAAAGCTTGCCAATTCTGATCAAATAGGGAAGGAAGGACTGGTATTCTTTCAATTAAAATTGTTCGTGTTGGTTCCTTTACAGTACAGTTCAATATTAAGTGCAATTCTGCAAAAGAATTGGGGAGTCATTTTAATATTTACAAGGAACAAATCAGCAGAACAAGATTATATCAGATAGGCTGTGTACAGTAGCTGCGGCTTATAAAACATACCAGTAATTTGTACCTGGTGAGTATAAAGAGAACCAAAGTAGGATTCAGATGTCTTTACAACCAAGAGAGTACACAAGGCATCAACGAATTGGAGGACAAAAAAAATTCACATTTTCTACATTAAAAAAAAATTACAGATCTTGCAAATGTCTTTGAAGACAAAGAAAAATTCAAAGTCCTTTGAAGGATGGGAAAGATGGTATCTGAAATGGAACTCTTAAGTGTAAAGAGAGTTTTACTTCACAAGACCAATTTTCTTGGCTTCTGTTTCATATATCAATAATCTCCACATTTTGACTATAAAAACTTCTGCTTCTTCATCAAGTACCTAGAGGAGAAAAAAGAAACAAACAGTAACACACACATAAGATAAGCAATCAGCATCCCCCAACAAAAGCGAGTGATACTTTCAATAGACTTGAAGGAAATCTGTTTAGCATGAGAAATGTATTAAACAGTACATGTAAATTACCCCCCCAAAATGCATTCAGCAAAATCCCATGGCTTACTGAATACTGACACCACAGTACATTTTTGATCCATCCAACTTTTATTCTTTTACCTTTACAAATACTATCTTTATATATGTCTTGGAAAACTATTTCCTGAGGAAAGCAAATGTTTGTTACAAAGAACATTGTAATTTAGGCAGAACTAGTTGTACAACTACACAATAACTTAATACAGAGTATCTCATTTACCCCCCTACAAACAACCTTATAATTTTAATATTTATGGATGTTGCATTTAATTAAATATTAAATGAGAATATATGTAAAGCATTTAATACAGTGTCTTGGATACAGTAAACAGAGTAAATAAACTACTACTATGACGAGTGTCACAAGACCACTGAATTAAAAAAAGGTCATTTCCCCTTGGCGAATAAATCATATTTCTATCTACTTATGAGTTAGGTGCATCATGTCCTAACCACTACTCCTGCCCTCATCCCACACACATATTCGGCCCTCTATACCAGAGCTGTAGCGAGGTAAAATGGAATAATCATGTTTCCTTCTATAGGGGGCAGCTAATGACTGAGCTTCAAGACAT